GTTAATGTATGGTTGTGTGTATGTATGAAAGATACATAGAGAGATAGATAGATAAAGAGAGTTTACGATGCAATAGTAACATACTTTAAAGACATCAGTTGGGTCATTCATGCTAACTTGATGCGACAATTCTAATTACATTTTTGTATAAGTAATTTTTTAAGTGTTAAGAAATTGCATTGTGTCATCTCAAGAAAAATTTAATTTTTCTTGAGATTAATTAAATTATATAATACTACATTTTAATAAATGCTGGGTGTAGCTATTCCTTCAGAAAGGTAACAGGGTGGATTTTTAACATATAACCACTTTGAAATGTTTTAAAGTCAAATGTTTACTATAGAAAATCACGAAAACAGGGTTGACATTTTAAGATATACATAAAACATAAGATAAATGGATAACAGTAAATGGACTTTAACGTGGCATTGGAGAGTTAACTTCTGAAAGGACAATGATGTCATTATGACAAATATGGAATAGTTCATTATTTTAAAAATGGATAAATAAGATAATAACAGGGTTGGCACAAAACTCAAATCAAGGTTTTTACTAAAATGCTAGCTTTTGTTTCCATATTTGTTGTTTTCTAAATAAAGGGCATAGTTGTTAGTATACTATAGCAGGGAGATGTTGGAAACAAAGACTGAAGGAAGGCCAAAAAAATTTATCATTATACAAAATTAAAACATAAGTTTTAAAAGATGAATAAAGAAATGTTACCTGGTGTGTTTACTGTTAAGTGAAATTATTAATAATTTAATAAATTAAGTTAAATGATATTCTCTGTTAGAAAACGTCAACATGATCAGCTAATCAAAGCCATGGAAAAATGCAATACTAAATTGGTGACACAACATAGGCCTAAAGAATGAAATACAAGAGCCGTTTACTGCACATAAATACTGAATTTATTGTATTTGATTTTTCCAATGACCTTTTTTCACAGTTTTACCTCTTCAGTCCTTCATTCAGGGTTGGAGTGGTCTGGATGATAGAAGGAGAGGGTCAGTGTTTTCTCACAGGTGGCATTTGATGTATGACAATCTGACCATGCTGAACTTACAAAACGGCTCCAACTGGACTGGCCCAAAC